GATCGTCTTTGAGTCTTCCATTTTGTAGTCCAAGAACTTTCCTATGATGAACTTCTTAGTTTCGGTGTCTTCAGTCTTGTATTTTTTCTCCAAGGATTCCCATAGTTCCTTTGCAGATTTTTTGGAACTATACACATTATATAATGTGTTGTCCAACCCATTTCGTATGTAATTCTTTATCAAGAAATTTTAATGTTTCTAAACATCCAATGCTATCAATGATGCTCTATTATTTTTTTACCTTCTTGCACAGCGGGATCATCTTCGTTCAAGAATTTCACCAAGTTTAGTGTTGTGAGATAGAACAACATTTTCTGTTGCCATCTCTTGAAATCAACTTTACTAAATATCTCTGATTTCTCTCAATGTGGAATGGAGTTTGTATGAAACGGTAGGAGGGGCAACTGCGATTGGAGGAATCTCAACGGTAGGAACCAAGTTAGGAACAAACCTTCCAAAATTCCCATATTCGAAATATCATTCAAAGTAGTATTGGTATTGTCAACTGCATTCATTTTTGTTTACACAAAATAGAAAATCAAGATCCGAGGAGTAGAAGAGGTTAATTTGAAATGAAATCAATTTAACAGATTATAAATTAAATATATATAAAGATATCACTCAAATGCAAGAATTTGTCTGTTGTTTTAGAAAAATGGAGTTGAGTGATTTCTTTAATAAAATTTGAACTTACCAACCTTACCAAAATTGGACAGAGTAACGGCAAGAAATGAGTAATAAAACACCAAAGAAATTCCAACGAAAAAAGGACAAAGTGACACCAAGTAAAATGGATGCAAAGTCAATGCAAGAGTTAAACTCTTTATGTTGAAATCGATTTTACCCCACATCGGTGCCTACGAATGATGGCAATCAACCCCCTAAGATACAATGACTACATTCTTGTGTATGTACCATGAACAATGAACCAAAAGATAGTTTTTGTACTCATTTCTCTTGCAATGAAAGATAGAATTTTTGCTAGGAAAATATAAATTTTATGTTATGCTATGATTACATATGATTGAGATGTAGTAATGGATGTCCCAAGTGTCTTATTTATAAAAGAGAAGAAGTGTGAGTGAAGAAGAGATACATCCTAAAATTCAGAAAAGTGAAGAAGAGATACATCCTAAAATTCAGCAACCCTCATGAAGGGGCAAACCCATTTTGTCGGTAAGCTACAAATGGGCGTCGCTCGAGCTCTAGCAGTGTTATTTTATGCAGAAACATGTCTCTCATTCGTCAATCGAGCGACAGTCTTATTGCTAACTCACCGCTCGAGCACTAGGCTAGCAATGGATTTAGGCAAATTCTCAACCAATTTTCCCTATTTTTTTAAACTTTAGAGTTTGGACCGAAATTTCTCATTCATCCAAACTTGATTTTGAGATTCCAAATATATCGCAATCATCTACTTGACGAGTAGAATAAGTTGGTCTATTTATTTTCCTAATTTGATTACCGAATCATGTCCAAATATATGGTCGAAATTAACACAAAAGTCATGTTTTTCATGGTATTATACTTAACCAGATATATCTCTTTTAAACCAAATTCCAACTGTAAGAAAATTAGAATAAGAAATAGGCTCATTCAAGGGAGCCTTGCATCCATAATTAGTTTTCGAGGAACCTAAACTTCCAAGATGAACAATATTGTTTGCAACAAAATGCCAGGCTGTCTTTTTCATTGATTGTCAAAGGTTCATATACAAAATATTGTTGGGTTGTATGTTCAAATAGTATAATTTTGTTGATGTAAAATAACATTTGATAATAGGGTTAATTTCACAAACGGTCACTGAACTTAACCAAAAATTACAAAACGGTCACTACAGTTTAAAATTTTCATAAACGGTCACTTAAATTTCAGGCAGTTTCACTAACGGTCACTGAAGTTTTTAAAACTTTCACAAATCGTCACTTCAGGTACCAAAATGATTCTATTCAAACTTAAGGATGAAAATACGTGACCATAAAAATTTAAGAGGACCTCAGGTGCAAAAAATTTTCCTCCCATTTTCCTTCTCCCTTCAATTTTCGGTGGCACTTCAAGCATTTGACCCCAAAATTTGACAAACTGGTGAGGTAATTTCTGCAATTGAAAGGTTACCTAGTGTTGTTTGATGATGAATTTCAGTTTCCCCATGCTTATTTATAGGTTGGATCAGATTTGAGTGCTCAATTGAAATCGTTTCGACAGCTGTTCGCACGTAGAAGATGCATGAACAGAAATTGGCTGATTCAAAATAAATTGGTGAGGACCCACATGTGCATCTTGTTCACCATGATGAGTAGAAGGTAATGGTGGTGGTTCCCGACTGTAATTGTTGATGCTGGCGTCGAAAATTGGAGAGGAAAGTTTGTTGCCAGCTACCTTCAAACTGGTATCATTTAGATTTTGATTTAAATTATTTTGTGATGGTATGGGACCATGTACATGTTCGTCTTGGGGAGTACTAACAGTCTATGATGGATTTTTGGTATGGGTGATGGTGGGTTGGCCAGAATTGGAGGAAAATCGTGCGTGATTATAGTTTTTTTGAACCTGAATTTCATTTCATTTTCTATGTGTTTTGGTTGATTATTGGTATAAAATTGTGGAGGGTGAAGAGGATGTGTTTGTTGTGTAAAAATCCGGTGGTTTATTCGGCGGTAGGGTGCTCGATTTTGTCCTTGAATCCACAGGCGCCGGAGAAGGAGAATGAACATGGAAGTGGGAGGAAAAAATTTTGCACCTGAGGTCCTCTAAAATTTGTATGGTCACGTATTTTGGTCCTTAAGTTTGAATTAGAATCATTTTAGTACCTGAAGTGACCATTTGTGAAAGTTTAAAAAACTTCAGTGACCATTAGTGAAACCGCCTGAAATTTAAGTGACCATTTATGAAAGTTTTAAACTTTAGTGACCGTTTTGTAATTTTTGGTTAAGTTTAGTGACCGTTTGTGAAATTAACCCTTTGATAATATATATGAATTAGTTATTTTTGTTTTTTTCAAATCATTACATTTATTTAATATTGGACATGTGAATTAAAGTGCTTACAATCACTTTAGATAATATAAGTTGTGTACTTGCATAAAGAATCACCTTGTAATACAACTTATATTTTGATAACAAATAATGTGTTCACAACCATGTATAAGTATTGACACCTTGTGTTGAAAGGTTTAGTTTTGACTAATTCACTGTTTGGGTTTGATATTTATTCTTATTGCAATAAATAATTAAAGGTGACACCATTTGGAGCTTATTGAATGGACAACGTGTCAGAATTTAATTTTATAGTATGATCATGCAAAGAATTAAATTTCAGTTGATCGTCAAGTATTTCATCAAAATCTCCAAATGTGGTTAAGTATATCTTTTTGTGAGTTTAATAATTCTCTTATTGATCAATGGCCTATATCAATTTGATTGATCAAATATCACAATGAGTTAAGAGTTCGAGAACGAATAGGGTAGAGAACATGATCTCGAGTCGAAAATAGTCAATCTAAAAAATGATAGACTAGTTACTTAAGCATTCTCTGTCGAACGATTATAAATCTAAGTTCAATGTTTAACGATGGCCAAACTTTGACTTTTGTGATTAATTCATAAAATCGTTAAAAAATGATACTTAAATTAATGAGAATAATTAGAGGAACAAAATAGTCATTTTGTCTTGAGTTTGGTATATCATAGAAGGCTTGAATCCTTAAAGTATCAAGAACTTGAAATAAAAAACTGGATGTTCGTAATCTAAAACATTGGGAATCAGTGATTAAAATTATGTTCAAGAATTGATCATTGAATTTAAGTAAATTTCAATTCTTTATTTCTTGATTATAACATAAATGTAAATATTTATAACGATCTTGAATTCTTGAAGTAACAAAAAAGAAAAATTAATTTTTTTAGCATTTCAACAAATACAACTACCCAGTAAAGTAGCCATTACATGAATCCAAAATATTTTCCAATAATTAGGATAATACAAATGAAGTAGACGTCCCACAATCCACTAATACTAGTTTTCTAAATAACGCGCCAATGTGCGCATTATTTAGTAACGATCTTGAATTTTTGAATTAACAAAATAATAATAATAATAATAATAATAATAATAATAATAATAATAATAATAATAATAATAATAATAATAATAATAATAATAATTTTTTTTTTAGCATTTCAACAAATACAGCTACCCAGTAAAGTAGCCATTACATGAACCCAAAATATTTTACAATAATTAGGATAATACAAATGAAGTAGACGTCCAACAATATACTAATACTAGTTTTCTAAATAGCGCACCAAGGCTAAGGTGCCAAGCACTTTGCTTGGTGCCTTATTTGACGGTCAACGGACGCAAGGCGAGGCTAAGGCGCCAATGAGCGCATAAGGCGCGCATTATTAGTTTTTTTTCTTTTTTTTTTATAATTCTTTTAAGTTAAAACTTATAATTATTAAATAATTTATAATTATTAAAAAAATTTATTGATTAAAAATTTAAAATAATATTAAAATAAGAAAATGTTTTTTTACGCATTTGTCTCGCCTAATCTCGCATTACCCTTAGCTTGGCATCGATGCATCGCCACGCATTACGTTTTTTAGAACACTTCTAATACTAGTTGAATAGGTCAGAATCATATGAAAATAACAATAAGAAAATACTCCTCGTCCCACAAACATATGCTTGTTTTTATTTTAACACGGATTAAAAAATATAATTAATATAGTTAAAAATATATATTTTTCTAACATACCCCTACGTTAAATAATAATTTAAATATGAGTATTTCATATTTGTTGATAACAATACACATTAAATAAGGGTATATTAGAAAATTAAGAAATCAATGATACTCTCGATAAAAAAAGTGACATAATTTGAGACAAAAAATAAAAATAAAATAAAAAATCTATCTATGGGATAAAAGTAGTAAATAACAATTAACTAAATCCAAGATTCCATAAAATGGACATCTCTTTGCAGGTATTTGTGTTGCCAGCTTTTCATGCATTATTACATTACATTACCTATGCAGAGAATGCGGATATTCCCACAAATAAATATCCATAAACACACATTTCTTGTGTTGCAACCATTTCTCCTCCTATAATTCTCGTGATTCCTTTTTCTCCTTTTTCTGTTAAAAGAATTGCCACTGATTTTCGAAGGCATGTAAAGGTATGTCTTAACGATGAAATGAAATCTGCAAGCGAATGTTTTGATAACAAAGTTGATACATTTATGTAAATCGAAGAGATGATTGGTATTCATGTCCTTCTATAATTTCATGGATAAATTTCTTATGTTATTATCTAGTTTTGTCTTTATTTAGGATTTTGAACTTTTTCAGGACGTATGTGTAATTGATGAACAAAAGAGATGATTAATCTTGATTCAAGAAGGCTGCCGAGGCTGCGGGAGGTCGCCACCGTACGACCATCTCTCCAGCCGGCCGGCACGCAACTTTAATGACCCTAACTGTATTACGCATCGCTAGGCCAAACTTTAGTCCTTAAAAACCGACTAAAGGCTGAGTTTGTTACAATTGATGTCATGGAGACACCTTTAGGGATTATCCTCGTTGTGAGTACCTAAAAAGGACTACTTTCAATAGAAGACTAATTATGTAAAGTCACCTAGTTGAGAATATGGGTCACCATCGATGTCGATTTATGCAAAGGAGTGAAATGTAATGACCATCAATGTATCCCTCGTAACTAAGATAAGGTTTAGTTGTGGATTATAACCAACCGATCACCGTCCTTTCACGAGTCAATTTTAAGCGTGAGTTCTACCCAATATGGTTTACTACCACAACACATCCTGCCAATCCCGGCCTAAACCATGTTTTCCATAGATGCCCAGCCCTTTTTTTTACACCTCGAGGCCCTAACCAAACCTCTAATCTAAAGAAGTGCTGGTTTGCAAATGTCTTTGATGGAAGTGTTGGGTTTCATCATCTGAATCCTAAAACAAGTTGAGTTTTTAATATAACCAGGTAGTGTTATAGTTCTTGGTATGCATGATGTTCCCATAGATGATTCTTGAATTGTATTATTTGATGCCATAGGCCGTTTTCAGAATTATTAAAATGATAACATCTTCCTTAAATATTAACCGCGAAATCTAAGTGAGATCTGCAGCAGCTTTGCTGGTTGTGATTTCCTCAATGGATAAAGCGGCTGCAGTTGATATCCCAGTAGCGCTGGGGAATACTACGCCTGAGGTTGTTGGCATCATCAGGAGCTCAACTGGCACTGGCAACTTCAGCGTTCAAAATAGAAAGACGAAGCCTATCCCGAATTACCTCAGAGTCAGAGCGTTGACAGGTTCTTGCCATGATTTCTGCAAATATGGCATGAGACGACATGATGTTGAAACAAAAAGCGAGATGTATAGACCTGCTAAAACTGCAAAGAGTACATTGCACAAGGAGAAATTAGTGAAAAAAGACACGGAAAAGAAAGTTCCCACGAATACCAACTCAGTATCAGTGTCTGCAAAACATCCCGGTGATAAGAAATTGAAGCTTCTGAGAACACAAACACCAGGATCAACAAATAGACAAAATGAAGGAAATAAGACGAGCAACTCCAAATTAAGCCGGAAAACCAGAGTGCCTCCTACTTCTTCCTCTTCTAAGGTGCCAAGTTTAAAGTCCAGGAACATTAATATCCCCAAAAAGGTTATTAAATTGGAAAACAAGAAATCAGAGAAGAAAACAACCGATTATGAAAATGTTCCCGAGAAGACATTGTATGTCATTGATGAAAGCCTTAGTGATAACCAGAAAACAGATTCAAGGGCAGAAGAGAGCAGGAGGATGAGAAATGGACACTTGGACGGATCCCTGAGGAAGCTCGAGTTCAAGGAAAGAGAACTGCTTGAGATACCATCTGAGAGTAAAAATTGCAGGGTACTCAAATTTAGGCAAGCAAAAACACTTAACGAGATCCCAAATGATGAAGCTAAATGCAAAGAGAAAGACTTGAGGAAACTAGTTTCTGATGGCTCCAATGGCTGCTCAATTGGTACAGATGATAAATTTAGCTGTGTGGTTCTTCGACCCCAGGCTGTAGGCAAAAAAAATACTTCTCCAGGCTTGTACAATAGTTTGATTAAAGAGACTGCAAGTAAACTTGTTCAGAAGAGGAAGAGTAGAGTGAAGGCATTGGTGGGTGCTTTTGAAACTGTAATTACCCTCCAGGAAAAAAGTTCGTGTGTCAAGGCATAGTTATATGCTGTTGTACTTGACATTAAAAATGTGAATCATATTATGATAATAAAAGAGAGTTCTCAAGTTAATCATCTTATTCTGTGTCAAAGTAAGTTCCCCTACACCTAAAATTGGCATTTATTCTACAAGTATCAGATACTCTCTAGAATAGAGAGACATGTTATTCATCTTTCTTCGTACGTACTTGAGATTTGAGAATATGCTTTGCTGCTAATTAGTGCTTCAATCTAGGGGTAGTATGATACTAACGCACTATCCCAATAACGTAAGAAAGAATAACATAAATGAGACTCCTCAACCTAAAAGCTCCAAAAGAAGCTGGAAATGAGTAAATTCTAAAAATTTCTATGTGAGAAAGAAAGGGCTAGATGAGCATTTTTTTAGACAGAGAATTTCATCTCTCAAAATTTATGCAGAATCTCCAATATATTCTGCTATCAGTAATGTTATCCTAGAGGTGGAGGTTAATGATACAATTTCATCCACTAAAGAAAAGCAAAGCCTTAATCATGACACAGAACTTCATCAACATTAGTTGATGTTATAATGGAGCCCCAGTCTGTATTTTTCCTCTCTCTCTCTCTCACATATATTTCCCCCGTCTATTCTATTGAAAGACCGGCAAAAACAATATTTACTCGAAATGCAGAGTCTTGTATAATGAAATGACAAAAAAAAAAAAAAAAAGGAACAGAAGTAGACTTTCCAATGAATATGCTGTCATTCCAACAGAACACAATTTGTAATCACCACTTTTAAGTAAGGCCGATCGAAGCCTCGCTCTGCCACCACTGCTCTTTTATCTCCTATTAGCTTTGCTACCCTGTTCACTAATGAGAAAATTTACATCACTACAATTAAAGACACAGTTAGAACAATAGCAAATATAAGGCCACACTGGACTTCATAGTTAATATCTTATTCTATAAATTCAAAATGAAATTCAGAAAAGTTAAAGTGATTTTAATTAATCTAGCACCCGCAGACATAGCGCCAGCTTATTTGTTGGCAACTCATCAAATAGCATTGGCTGTTAAAGACATTTTTTTGCTTATATCTATCAAGAATGTACCTGAAGTAAGGACAGCCCATGTTCCTTTTTTTTGGAGGATCAGGCGTCCAAGCTTCGCCCGACTAACCCCGAGGAGTGGCGGCTTCCCCCTCGGTACACCAACAAGGTAAATCCGGATGTAATCACAACTTATAGACACTTGGGTCGGACATTCAGAAAGTGGTTCTTCTCCCTGTGGATCTCCCTTTATGACGTGTGGATAAAACCTTCGGAGGGGCGACAAAATATACTATAACTTTGCCTCCACATGCCTTCCAACTGTTACGAGGATTCGAACCTCTGATGCTCCGTAGAGAACCCTCTTGTTTTACCACTGAGCCATATCTGTGTTTTCTTGCACAGTCTTCACTTTGCTCATTTGCTTTACAACATCCATTCCCTTGAGGACTCTTCCCACAACCAAACTCTAGGCATCCAGCTCCGGTGAGTCTTTAGTGGCAATGAGAAACTGTCCCGTTAAGATCCTTTCCGTCTTCTTCATTGATTTCCAGCTTCCCTTTACGTGCAACCAACTTGATTTCCGGATGTGGTTTTTAAGGGTCCCTTACAATAATGCCAACACTCGTTGCCACATTCTTAGTTCCCGAACAATTTTCATTCTGTTTCTCCCATTCATTCACAAGAATATCAATGGTCACATTACTCTCTGTTTTCCTTGCAAGCTCTGCATCAACACCATATGATCTTAGTCCACCATGTTGCAAGTAGTTTGGCATGATTTTAACGAATTCTTTCCTCCTATAACTAACACATGCTGCTCCACTTACGAGTTTGCTGAATCTTGTCGTTCCGAAGGGGGACAGTATCACCATATAGCCCAATAATTATTCGACCAACAGGCTCTCAATTAATCGCAACATCAAGAAATGCCATGCTTTTTTGGAGTTTGATATGCACATATGGGTGTTTACTTCTAGACCAATTTTTTCTGCTCTTGCATTGGACAGGTGCAATGGTTCAAGGGTAAGAGAGCTTACGAGTAAAAGAAAAGACAAAGTGGTGAAAATTGAGATATCTCTACTCGATAATTTAGTACAGGCTCGCACTTATGCTCAGCAGCTTCCATTCTCAATTTGCTTTAGTAGTAACCAACTCCCTAAAATCCATCTTGGATGTTTGCTCAGCATCATTTCCATTTCCTAAAAACAATAGACGACCTACAACCCCAATGTAATTGAAGTCAACATAAGAATAGAAATTCTTCAAAGTTAGAAATGCCAATTTATATAATAGATCAGAAATACCACAAACATTATAATACATTTGCCAAATGTCTAATGTTGTTTTTTACCTTCCTAATCATTTCTTATTATTTTCACAGGAAATTCATACCTACATCAGCGATAGACCTCTAACATTACATGCGAAATTTCCAATCGATATTCTTTTAAGTAATTCTTTTGCTCAAAATTTATACTGAAGTTGAGTAGTCTTTGAACATCAATCTAGCGCAGTCCCGCACCCACATACAAACACAGAACAAAAATAAAAAAGGAATAGAAAAACACAATCATGACCACAGAACGATTCAAGATCCATGATCTAATGTATAGTTACCAAATAAAATAGGCTTAAACATATGTAACATAAATATGGAATCCACACATATAAATTTAGAAAACAGGTTCCACTTGTCAGGGACTGGCATATATTTTCCTCCATAACTTCCATTCCTCAGTTCCCAGGAATCTCCAGCAGTTTCTTCTCCACAGAAACCAAAAATTTCAAGTTACAAGCCCAATTTCTCTATCCAAAGGGAAAACTAATAATCTGTCCTTGACGATCCCTCAATAAAATACTTGTAAAATTATACTATAAAAATACTAAAGGAAAACACAGAATGGTAATAGTGAGGAAGACGATAATGCACACATGAACTAGAATGGTAAGCTTTTCAGATATTTATATAGCTAAGTTTAATTGTTTGTGCTGTCTAATGGCATTCAAGCTAACATCAGAGAACACAATTATTGAAGGCAAAACAAAAAGACATATTGTAAAGACTGCCATAGACCGAGAAATATGGAAGAACAATATTTATAAAAAACCTTAAAGCAATGAAGTTGCAATTTTATTATTTAAGCAGGATTCATGAGCCTAACAAGTCTTCATAAGGAACATCAGTGGAAAAGGCCAAGCAAATGGGAAAATGATTGCAAACCGTTGCAGAGCAGAATGAGTATGACAGATAACTTCATGATATTAACATTAACAATTGTAGTATTCACTAATAAACTAGCAAAACAAATTTTAAAATTCAAATGCAATTCAGTCAGAGAGAACTGGAAAGCTGTGGGCAGGTATAGCAACAGAAAATAAGTAATTAAAGTGGAGGATAAAAGAGAAATATACCATTCCGGCGCATTGCAATCTCTCTTATTCGCAGAACAAGAATATATATATATATATATATATATATATATATATAAACTCAAGGGCTACTGTAAGGCGTGAGCTGCTAATAGTCAAATTCGAGAGAGGCTCAAGACAGGATGAGAATTAAAAAATAGCCTCATGTATCTATTTAAGTACATGGCAGACAATACGATTTGGTCAGATTTGATATCAATAAAATATTCCAAGCTGCAAGAAAAGTAATTTCAAAGGTGGCATGAAAAGATACTACTATAATTTCCTTCAAAATAGGGCGTCAAAATTAGGTAAGCCCTATTTTGAAGGTAAGCCCATAAGGCTTACAAGAAACTGATAATCCTGATTTATAGTTATCCTGCAACTTCTACGGTACCTAGAACAAGACCGGTCTTGTGATTGTCGAGGTCCAAGATAAAGTCCAAAAATTAGGCCCCCAAAATTAACGTAAATGCAAAATTCAACGATATATTATGCAACATATTGTTAACTTAAAACTTAAGATTAAAACATTAAATAAATATCTCGATCATCTCATAATTAATAAAAAAACTATTTTCCTTTTCCTCTTCCTTTTCCTTCTTTTAATAAATTAAAAAAAAAAATTGGGTCAAAATAGGCCCTTTGTGGTTTTGGCCTGAGGCACAGGCCTCATTTGCCTATGCCCAGGACCGGCTCTGACCTAGAATAAGTAAACTAAAGTTGTATCCGGACATGAAAAAAATAGAAGGTTTATTATTATTATTATTATTATTTTTTATGCACACAGGTGTTCGGACCAGCTTACACGCACCTCGACTAATTCCACGAGACCCTGAAATTTACAATCGGTACTCACTTCATTGATTCTGAGAGAACTCGGACTAGTGATCATTGGGAAGCAAACTCAAAACATGACCATTGAACTATCCCTTAGAATTAAAAATAGAAGGTTTATGACAAGAATGATATGATTTTCAAAATTACGAATTACAATACATCAACAATTTTGCTACTCAGCATTAGAGGCAAACAAATCTGAAAAGCTTACAGGGCGGACGAAAATTCCGAAACTAGAAAAATCCTCTTTCTTCGTTTTTTAGGAGCTCTTAAGCTCATGTGGTGTTAGATAAGTAATGATTTCTAGTGTTATCGTATGCTAACCAATCATCAAAATCATGCTTAGTCATAAGGTATATCCCTCCTTATCTTAAAAGAGAGAATGTGATGTTTACTGTTCATTTTTATCACATAGGTTTTTACATTAAATTGGTTTGACAATAGTAAATTATTATATTCAATCAAACTTTAGCATTTTTTCACATGCCGTTTTCACTGCAAAGTCACTTCCACTACAATATTTCTCCATTTTCACACACTACTTCACTTTATAAAAGTCAATAAAATATCAACTTAAAATTTTTGAAGTATAAATATTTAGGTATATTTAGTTTTTAAAATTAAATATTAATAAAAAGATTACACTGTCTAGAATGTAAAAGTTACTTATAAGTAAAAAAAAATCACTTCAACTTATTTAAAAGTAATAAAAAAATTGATAATTGTAAAAACTACTTATAGGTAACATATATATATATATATACACTCTTACAATTGCAAAAACTACTTATAAATAAAAAATATCAACTTAAAAT